GGGCGGGCTGAGACGAGGCGAGGCGCAGCGCCGGCAGGAGGGCGATGGTGGTGGCGGCGGCGGCGTGAAGCGCGGCGGGACCCGGGGCGGGCTGCCCGGCTGGGCGTTAGGGCAGAGCGGCGTGTGCCCGGTTGGCGTGTGCCATGAGGCTCCCGGAGGAGGAGGAGGAGCAGCAGCGGGGGGAGGGCAGCCGCAGGGCGCTGCCGCAGTAATGGGCAGGCGGCACCGCTGCCTCTCGCCTTGCCGCCCGCTGTCGGTGACCGCCCGTGAGGTGAGTGCGGCGGGGCGGGGGGAGCTGCCCCGCGTCTCGTCTCGTTGTCCCCCCTCCCCTTCCCCGAATTTTAATTTTTAAAGCCCCGGGGGCTGCGGGGGGGTCTGGCCGCGGAGGTGACAGGGGCCGGTGGGGCGGAGCGGGGCGCTCCTCGCCCCGGGGCTCCCTGGGGAGGGCCCCCCCCCCACCTTCCCTCCCAGCGCCGCATTCCTGGGTACCCCGGGTCGCCTCCTTTGCCAGCTTGGGTGCCACCCTGCCCGGCCTTCTCGCCACCTTTTGCTTCCCCGCGTTCCTAAGGAGGAGGATTTTCCCCTCCCGCCCCGCAGGGATGCTGCCCTCCCGGGGAGGGGGGAGACCCGGCCGGGTCTCTGCTCTCCCCCCCTCGCCTCCCCCAGGAGCCTTTCTGGGCTCGGGGTGGGGAGGCATTCCCATTTCAGGGAGGAGGATGGGGAATCCTGGGCAGCCCAGGGCTCAGGAAATGCCCCTTCCTCCTTCATCCTCCTCGCCCTGGCGCAGGCACGTTAAGTAGTAGCACTCCCTTGCCGGCTTCTTGGCTGTTCCTCCTCCTTGGAAAGAGAAATGGGAGCGGGTGGTGTGTGTGAGAGGAGAGAGAGAGGAAACAACTGTTACACCTTTTGTCATGAAGACAAAGAACTTGTCTTCGTCTCCCCGTGTCCCTCCCTCTGGGTGCCTGTTGGCAGCACCTCAGCCGCTTCGCATCGCTTCCCGGAGATGCTTCCCAAGGATTCCCTATGGCCCTGACCTGCCCTTTTTTTTGTTGCTGTTGTTGTTGATTACGATGGTGCTGATAAAAGGACATGTTGATATGTTTCCAAACAGACTCGTGGTTTGCATTCCTGAAATTGCTGCAGCATTCTTCTTTATTTATTTAATTGGAGGGGTCGGGGTATGTGTGGGGGGATGACAACAGGAAAGGGGTATGTTTTTGTGGTTTATTGTCGTTGTCTGAAATGTATGAGATGGTGGGCAGTTGCAGCACTGTGGTATGGAGTACATTAACCAATGCTTTCTCCCCCTGTCTTATTTGTCTTCCAGTCCTGCAGCCTCTACATCATCTACGGCGTGAGGAATGATGATTCCCTGAGAGAACTTCCTTTCAATTACCTGTCTGCTCCTATTGCGTGCTGCTCCGTGCCAGTGATGAGCCCTTCAGCTAGACTGGGATTTACCCTGGAGAAGGGAGAGGCGGAATATGAATTGTAGACATCCCATCAAGTTCCTCGTGCGCTGTTTCTATGGTGTTTGTGTATAAATCTGCTGGCATTGAGCACACACACTCTTAAACCCACGTTGGTATTCACAGAGTTACTGCTGTGTAAGAGGACTGGTGTTTTCTCACCATCATGGCTTCGGTTTGGAAAAGACTGCAGCGTGTTGGGAAACACGCATCCAAGTTCCAGTTTGTGGCCTCTTACCAGGAGCTGATGGTGGAATGCACCAAAAAATGGTAAGGAGCAGCTCACGTTGCTGCAGGAACGGTGGAGGAAGTTGCTGGTGCTGAAAGGGGAAGGGTGTTGCTGATGTGTGTGTGTGCATTGGTCTTGCCCCCCCCTTTCTTTCTTTTTGCCTGCCTGTTGCAGAAGCAGCTGTGTGTGTCTTTCCTGAGGAGGACTTTGCTGCCTGCTGATCTGGGACCTGTTGATTTTTGTTCTGTGCTCTGATTTTCATAGCGGGCGTTGTTACCATGCAGAGAATGGTGCGGTTTTTAGCTTGGCATCTGCGACTTAAGCAGTGTGGTTTTTGGTTGTTGGGTTGTTTGGTTGGTTTTTTTTAAAATATTTGCCAGGAGATGTTTTCCAACTTTCAACTCAACTCTTGGTGTGTTACCTGCTGACACTGTTGTTAGCTGACTGAGGTGTTTGAGGTCGGTCCTGAAGATGGTGGTGTTTTAATCTGGGGTGCATACCCCTTCCCATTTTGACTTTTATTTTCACCTGAAGATGCGTTGTCTCTCCTTCTTCCTTTCCATCTCTCCATGGGAAGAGGGAAGAGGCAGATCCTTGGGAGTTGTCTGAAGGTATTTGTTTAGTCAGACAAGAGTTCTGTGCAGCGGTGGCCCGGTTGGATGGCCTTGGAGCTGACTAGACAGCAGTTAACAGTTAATGGTATGGGTCTGGCCCCCCTTCCTTCCTGCACGAAACGAGCTTAAATAAATCTGCCAGAGAAGACTAGAAGCTGCTTTTACATAGTCAAGCAAAGATCTCCATTATACAAATACTTAAGTGCTGTTTTATATGTTGGGAATATTGACCTTCCTGTCATAATTCCTCACATTAGTGTGAGCCTGTAGTGCCAGGGGACAGAGAAAGTACTTTCCAGACCTCATGGACAGAGATGTTCAAATTGCCTCGCAATAAACTGCGGCCTCTTTTCTAATACTTGGCCTTTCTTCTTGTTGGCAAGTTTGGCACTTGCGTTGGCTGCTTTCACTGGTTATGAGTAATTGCCTCTACAAATTTAAATTCTATCTCTTGGAGCTGGAAACCTGTCAAATATGCTGCTGTCGGAAAGGAACACCGTTGGGTTAATTTTTTATTTATTTTTTTTTTAACAAGTTATCTTCTTGCCTAAAATGTTTTGAAAGATTATTACGGAAGAGAATCGTTTTGGAAGTGAAACTTACTTTCACAGAATGAACTACAAATAAAAACGTTGAAAGAGGCTCTTGCGATTATCTGGGATCTACTGTCTAGTTCAGGCCAAAGGGTTTTCCACAGTAATTTTGGCTTATCAGGTTTATTTATTTCAGCAGCCGAGTTGTTTGCATAAACCAGCCTGTTTTGGCTTTCATTTTCACTTTGATTCAGTCCTGGCTTGGGGACTTGCAAGAATGCTTCAGCACCAGAGAATGATAATGCTGTAGCGGAGTGTTCAGATCAGATCTGCAGCTCACTTTCACTTGGTTTAAGAAAAAATCACACACAGAAGTTCTCCTGTGAACAATCTCATTATTTTAGAAACAGCTTAATGTTTAATCATAAACTCGAGCGCCCACCTAGCAGAATGCCTGTGAAACAGCTCTTCAAAACCTCAAATATGCAACTAATTTTTATAAAATGGATTGACATTCTGATTTTTCATTTTATGTTCTTGAATTTAACTATGTGCAAGATCGGTGCTTGTGTTGGGTTATGCCAAAGCAACAGTGTGGTGGTGAAATACGGATGAATTCTAGGAAAAATAACAATAGGGAAAAACATCAGTCACGCAGCCGTTCGATTGTGGGCTTTTCTGTTCTACTTCCTCTTGTTTGGAGAACCTTAACAAAAGTGTTCTTTAAGCGTGGAAGCTAAAATACATTATTTCTGCCATAAGTGGAACTGCTACATGAAACAAAGGGGTACATATTTATGTATTTTGAGAACCTTCAGCTAAGTCTTCCCTTAACTTTGGAGAACGTAGTTTTGCATGTGCTGACAGAGTCGCTGCTTCCTCTGTTTCCAAAGTGTGTCTCCGAGTTTGGCCCGTGTGAGAAGAAACCAGCAGAAATGAACTCCAGATGCTGTTCTTGCTGAAAGCACTCAATATGTATTAAGTGTCAGTGCTGTAGTCTGTAGGTTTTTTGATTGAAATTTAGTAAGCAGTAAGTTATTTTAATGTACTGGCATTTTAACAATGCAGCGTTTCTGGGGGAAAAGAATGCCCCATTCATATTTTAAAATAAATTACAATGCAGTCATAAAAACACTTGAACTGAGATGTGTTGTGCTGGAGTGTGTCCAGAGGAGAGCCACCAAGCTGGGGAGGGGTCTGGAGAACAAGTCACACAAGGAGAGGCGGAGGGACCTGGGCATGTTTATTTTGGAGAAGAGGGGGCTGAGGGGAGACCTCCTTGCCCTCTCCAACTCCCTGACAGGAGGGTGTAGAGAGGTGGGGGTTGGCCTCTTCTCCCAAGGGAATGATGCCAGGAGCAGAGGGAATGGTCTGAAGTTGGGGCAGGGGAGGTTTAGATGAGATCTCAGGAAGAATGACTTTCCTGAGAGGGTGGTCAGGCACTGGAACAGCCTGCCCAGGGAGGTGGTAGAGTCACCATCCCTGGAGGTATTGAAGAAGTGTGTAGACGTGGCACCTCAGGGCATGCTCTAGTGCCCGAGATTGTTGGGTCTTTGTGTGTGTGTGTGTGGTTGGATTCAGAGATCTCAGAGGTCCTATCCAGCCATGAAGATTCTGTGATGTCTGTGAACAAGGATTGTGTGTGGCCAAAACAGGCTGTGGGCCTGTCTCTGGACTGCCCCCTTCTCTTGGGTTTTCATTGGTCCAACTCTTCAGAAAAATGACTTGTCTTTTAAAACATTTTGGTGACCAATGGCGTGCGGTTCGCGGCGTTGTGTGTGCATTTCTGCTTGGCTTGAATGCTTTTCGCTCCTCTGAACTCATATTGATATGGGGTTTTATTTTTATTTTATTTTTTATTTTTAACTTGGTGTTTGGAATAGCTCTTGCTCTCATTTCTGGAGTTACGCCGGCTGCGTGGGAAGTCGCTACCGCTCCGGTGCTGCTGCTTCCCTCTTGAAAATGAGTATATCTCTAGATACAGCAGCATTTGTCCAGCACGGGCTGAAACTCCCTTCTCTTGCTTTCTCTGCTCCAATTTCTGAATCTTGTCCCTGCCAAGGATTAAAGACCGCTGCTCTGAGATGATTGCTTTCCACTGGTGGTGCATTTGGAGGAGGGGAGGAGGGGGATGAGTTGTGATGGAGCGCCCAGTGTTGTCACCGTTTCATTAGAAAAACCCTATTTTCAGGTAATTAACAGAGCTGAGCTGCTTTCGTGGCATTCTGGCTGCTCCTGCTGACCCAGACCTAATTATTGTGGCTGCTCGGGTACCTTTGAAAAAATTGAGCAGTTAGTTAATTTAGAACCTTTCATTAAAAATAAATAAATAAATGTAGCCTTGGTCTTTAATATGGCTCCGTGACTCCTGCTGCCGTGCAAACGTAATGCTTTGCATTAATCATATAAGCACTTGATTATTTTTTTTTTTTGGAAGGGCACTTGCTTGGCTGTGCTGGAGTGTGTCATCCTCTGCTCATCCTTGGAATAAGCTGGGGCAGGGCAGGATTTTCCACCCAGCCTGGAAGGACTCTGGACGGTAGGAGGGAGTTAATTGAGTCCTCCTCCTCAGCGCAGAGCCCCTGAATAAAGCTAGAAATGGGTCTGGTGCATTTTGCTTGGGCTTCTAGGAAAGAAAAGTTGCGTTTGCTGCTCTGTGCCGCGGGGGCAGGCTGTGAGAAGCCCCAGGTTTCCTGCTGGCCCCGTCTCATCCCTGACACCTCCCGAGCTGGAGGGCTCTCTTCAGGCCACCGAGTCACAGCTTGTCCCAGGCACAGGCTCACAGGGAGCCCTGCAGGAGGAACACCTCCTTTGGACCAGGGCTCAGCGCCGGTGCTTGGACTTGAAGCTGTGATGGTGGTTTCACGGAGCTGCTGAAGCATCTGGTGCTGAGCGCGTGAGCTCTCTGGGGTGGCTTCTGTGTTTCCTCGTTTTCGTGTGATACCTCGCAAGTCAAGAACTCAGCATGAGGCTTCAGGTGGAGTATTGACTGGTTTCCACAGAGAATGGCCTGACTTACGGAGGTGAGGTTGCCAAGTTCCTTGCATGTCCATGTCCAGTAGATGCTCTTATGAGCAAGAAAGCTGCTCACCTCAATGTAGGTGCTCGCTGCTTAAAAACTCGACTGCTTTTGGAGGCTTTTCTGTGGGATTTGCCATTCAGCAGTTGCCTTAGAGGCAGAGAAATGCATTGTGTTTCACAACGTTTGGAATACCTGTCATGTCCTGCATGAATTGCTTTGCTTTGAAATCCTGCTTAAAAATACAGCGAGCCGTGACATTCTAAAAGGGTTAAACTTTTCTTGTAGCTGAAGGCAGGCTTCATTTCTATGGGGCAACTTCCCTATTTTTCTATCAATTAGGTATGGTTCTGAAGTAGGTCCTCTATTTTCAAATACATATCTTTCTCTTTTGGAAATGAAGTGATGCTTAATCTTTTTTTCTTTTTTTTCAAGAGTAGCTTTAGCCATCTGTTTTCCTCTTCTATTGTAGTTTCATAACTGGATGCTGCAGGAATTCTGAGACTTGGCATGCGCTGTGCATGGGAGAGAAATGAGCTTTTTGAGATTCCCCGGTTCACACCAGTCTGCTCGCCTTCTGGCTGCTGCTTTCCAGCAAACTCCCCGGCGCCGAAGGCCGCTGAAAGAACTGGAGTTAACTGGTGGCTGTGGAGATCCTGGGGGGTGGCCGCTGTGGGGTCAGGCTGTTGAATTCCTGGGTTCCTCTCCTGGCGTTGTGTGGTTGTCAGGAGGGGAGTTCGTGAGCACCTAAGTGGTTTTAATTATTAAGGGGTGATGGCGTTGAAACATGTGACAGTACGAGATACTGTTACAGGTGAGCTCAGGGCCTGTGAGTTAGTTTTGCTGGGAACCATGCTTTTTGACATGGGCTTGCT